GCCCCTGTGCTGCTCATGAAGCAGCCTGGTTCCTTCCTTTGGATTCTAAGGAGGGGCAGATCAGGGTCTGTACAGTGGGGACAGCACAGGGCAGGCTGAGCTGGTCACCTGTGTGATCCAGCCTTCCCTGGTGGAGGATAGAGCCCCAGCAGGGTGTCCTCAGCTTCCAGTGAGCTTCAGGCATGTGGGAGTGCCAGACTCAAGCTGTACGTCTCTGGGTCCCACCCTCACCAGGAAGTACCTGAGGTTGAGGTGCCTGAAAGCCAGGTATCCATGTGGGACCTGCTCTCAGCCACCCCACCTCCCAGAGGGCTCATCAGGCGGGGGATAAAGAGGACATAAACTTGGTGATGACCAAGCACAGAACTGGGTGAAAGGATGAGCTGCTCATGTCTCCCTTCTAACATGATCAGTGGACAAAACTGTAGGAACAGCTTGGGGTCAACCTTCCTCATCTCATCTTGTTTTCCAACCTTTTTTTCAGAGAAGAAATTCAGAGGGGTCTGGACAGACTGAAGTACAGTATCCCTGCAGGTTTTGAGAACCTGGAGAAAGCATTTCAAAAGGTGGGGAAGGCAAGACCATGAGGGTCAGTGCTTGCTCTCAGTTCCTACTGTTCTGCACCACCTCACTCCTTTCTCCAATGAATCTCAATTTCCTTGCAGGCAAATCTCCAAATTCAAAGAGCCAACTCTGGAGGTGAGTCCCTGCCTTCCCAGTCAGGGTGGCTGCACGGAGATGGCCACCCTCCAGGGAGCTCTGCTTGAAAAGCCCATTGCTCCCTGTCCCATCCCAGCCCTGTGCAGAGGGCAGAACACCTGCCCCAGCATGGTTCTCACAGGACAGGAAGCCCTGTGGGTCTGTGCAAGATGCTTGGTTACTCTGAGCTCCTGGACCTGCACTGGGCTCTATACACAGAAGGAGAAAGCTCAGATCCTGAGCAGCCTGAGGACCAGCCTGAGGAGCCCACTCTGTTCCCCGGGGTCAGACCTTCCTCCCTTACTCTGTCCCTGTCTTCCATAGCCCATGGCCTACTTGTTCCTAGACCCGCATCTTCCACCACGCAAAGGGCTGTATTGTGGGCTGGCAGCTCTGGGCAGGGGTGGTGGGAACAATGCTGGGAGGAATGGAGGTCCCCTGTCCAGGATCCTGCCCTGGAGTCCTGAGCAGCTGGGCCACTGTTCCAAGCAGAAGCCTGCAGGCTGTGCCTGAAGCAGGCACCAGTGCCACCCCTCCATGGGCTGCTCTGCAGGAAGGGCTGCTGCTTCCTGTGCTCAGGGATGGGCTGGGGATGGTGGACACATGGCTGGGCTGTCCTCAGGGAAGAGCATGTGTAGTCTGGGACCAGTAAGGCTTCAGGTTGTCTGGTAGGGAGATGGCCCTGGGTGAGATCCCCTTCTCACTCTGAGGTCTCTGGGAGGTGGGTGCTGGGGCTGGGAACCTCTGCCAGGGGCCCGAGGAGTAGGGAGCACCTGGTCCACCTGCTGTAGGCAGTGATTGGCCCTGACAGCCTACAGTATGCCTGGGCCTCTGTTGGTCACTCCTGAACCATGTTCAACAGGTCCCTCCTTTGTGTCCTGCAGGTATACAGGTTCCCAGCACGATCATCTCCGTGATGACCAGAACGGTGGGCAACAACCTGTACCAGGAGGCAAAGATAGAAGTGAGAGTGCCTGTCTTTGCAGTCTGCTCCATTTTGTGTATTTTGGCCCTTTCAGCTTAATCCTTTTCTTCTTTTAGGCTGACAAGGCTCGGAGGATGGGGGCATCCGTTTACACTGTTGGTGTGGGTTCAGTTAACAAAACGCAGGTAACTCAGATGAGATGACCTGGGGCCCCTCTGACTTTCCCCTGTCCCCAAAATGCTGTGTCCTGGATCAGGGGCCCTGGTGGTTCCTGAGCCCCTGCCTTGGGGCCAAGCCAGCTTCTCTCTCTGCAGTTACTAGGACTCTCAGACGAAGCGGAGAGTGTGTTTGAGGTGAAACTTGGGTTCGAGAAGTTGCAGGAAGTTGTAGAACCGGTGAGTGGCTTGTATGAGTAGTGCGGATTGTGTCTCATTGGTGCTGGTGCTCACCCTCCTGCTGCTTCCTTCCCTCTGTCCCAGCTGACCTCCAAGACCTGTCCTGGCATTTCTTCCTTGGAAGAAGACACTGTGTGTACAGCAGGTAGGAGATCACAACCACCACTCCAGGCAGACAGGTGTGCCTGGACTGTCTGTGGTGTGTGTGTGTGACAAGGTTGGTCTTGGTGACATCATGTTGTGTGTAGTGTTTGGGTCACGTGTGGTATATGGAGGAGCATGACATTTGCCTGTGTTTTGTATGTGTGTCCTGCATGTGCAGTAGGTGACAATTTTATGTGGTTACTACCTGAATGTGTTTTGTTTGAGTGTGCGGTATGTGCCAAGTATTTGGGAAGACTTGTGCATGCATGGAATATGTGTGGGATATATGGGGTGTCGGGGGGTTGACTGTGCCTGGGGATTGTGTAGCCATATGATTATACACTGGGTGCCTATGTCCTTGTGCACTGCTGGGGATGGTATACACTGTGGGGTTGGTGTGTGTATGTGTACAATTAGTCTTACTTAAGTCACAACAAAGAACAAAATGATGAAGACAGCAAAAGTATATGCTAAAAAATACTGAAGAAAATGTGGTCAGTGGAATGGAGGAACTTTTAAACAGGCTGACACAGACATGGAAACCAGGGTTCAGCCTGGAAGGGATGTGCAGATCTGGCATTAAAAATAGAAACAGTTTCCACATCCTCAAATGGTGACAGACACAAGGTGGTCACCTCCTAGGATGAAGCAAAAGTCTTGCACAAATCCAACATACAGCACTGGGGGAGGCAGAGAGGAACCCTCCATTCCTGACCCAACATCCACAGAAACAGCCTTTTGTTCCACCTCATCCTTGTGGGGAAATATCAGCACCTGTCCCCAGGGCTGGAAGTGACAAGGATGCCCCAAGTCCAGCCCAGGTCCCTGCCTCCGTGCATTGAGGATGTTCCTAAGTGGTCCAGTGGGGAGGCCACCTCTCTTTGTCATGGGCCCTATAAGGCTGCTGACACCCAGGTGGAGGGGACAGGGAGGACCAGGCTCCTCCTCCTACGGGTGACACTTTCACTGCTGCAGCTGCTGGGTTCTGGCCTCCATATCCCTTGTGGGAGGCACCATGGCTGCAGGCTGTGGACAGACAGAACCATGTTCACATCTGAGCTCTGCCATCCATGGTCTGGAGGATGGGGTAAGGTGCCAAACACATAGGCTGCAGTGTGGCCTGTGATGGATAGGAATAGCTCTGTGGGGTCATTGGGGGATGGAGGGACAGTGATGGCATAGCATCAGCCTGTGGGTAGGAGCTGAGGATGGCACTTGGTCCTGACCTCTCCACCCTGTACCTTGGCTCTGCTCCTCAAGCCCATGGGCTGCAGTGTTAGGTGGAGGTGGGATGGGGACCCCACTCTGGGGTCTCTCCTGCTTCTGGTGTGAAGCAGCTCAGCTGTGCAGCTCACCCAGTCCTGAATGTCCCTGGTGTGTCCCTGATGCATAGGCCTGGACATCTGGCCAGCCAGACAAACTCCAGGTAAGGACGAGAGCTGTCACTGCTTTCTCTCAGACACAGAGCTGAGGTGACAGGTGCCTCCAGACACCAGGTCTGCCACTGACCTGCTACACTGTTGGGCACCATGTATAGAGTTGCCACACACAGAGTGACGGGGACTTGGGGGGGGCTGCGGCAGGAGCCTGGGCCCAGGTGACACAGAATGCTCTGGGTTCTCAGGCTGACATGGAGAGCCAGTCCATGTGCAGGGGCTGAAGGAGAGGCTGTTGCAGCCTGGAGTCCCTGGCTGGCTGACCTGAAGCCACACCAGGCCCATGAGGACAGGAAGGAGCCAGGCCTGGTCCAGAAGGTGCTGTCAGGCCAAGGAGCTGTGAATTGCAACCAGAAGACCTGAAGGAACCCAGCCCCTGGGTATTGCAGAGTCACCCAGCTGCTCTATCTTGTCCCCTGTGGCTTGGCCTGAGGGGCAGCGAGGGCCATTCTGGTGGAGTGAGGGACTTGAGGATCCACAGGATGGTGGGCTGTGTTCTTTGTGGGTCAGGAGACTGGGGTGTGGAAGGAGGTGTTTACTTCCATGAGTCCCCCTCCTGGTAGGGCAGAGGCCTCCGGTGACCCCATCTTGGCCCTGCTCCTGGGGTCTCCAGTGGGAACCATGGGAATTCAGGGTGGAAGGCCTCAGCTGAAGTGGTCCCTGGAAGTTGGCTGTCTGTCATGGTGCTCTGGTTGGGGCTGGTGGGAGGAGGGCTCCCAGGTGTGCAGTACTGGTCCGCTGCATCCACATGGACACTTGGTGACAGCAGATGCACATCTGGCCTGAGAGATTCCCAGATGTTCAAACACAACTACTACCTCTTGGAGGCCCTGAGAATTGCTCTGGCCGTGACTGCTGTGAGCACTGGGCTGAGAGTAACCACAGCGCCCACTGTCCTCTGACTCCTGCATTGGGATGTGTCTTTGCAGAACCCTATGACGTGATTGTCTATGGACGAGGTTTTCAAGACATAGATCCGAACGACGTCATTTGCAGATTCCAGTTCAGTGACAGCAGTGTCATCGGTAAGGAGTCCCTCCTTCATGCTTCTGAATCTCTCATGTCCTACACAGCTCTACCCTTCTCTCCGGCAGCCACGCCCCCAGCCCTTGCTGACTGCTCCTGGGGGATACTGCAGGGTTCCTGGTAGTGTGGACAAGTGGGAGCAAGGGCCCAGCGGGGGGAACTCACCTCTCCCTTGGTCTGCACAGTGGGGAGGTTGTAAATCTCCAGCCTTACATGAGCGTAGCGTGGTGGAGCAGGCTTCTTCCCTCTGAAAGGTTGGGTTTAGGGCTGGGCTGTCCACAGGGCAGCATCTGTCCCACCCCTTCCCTAGCTTCCTCTCTTGAAAGTTGAAGACCCTGCCCTTGACCCTGCTGGTGGATGGGGTGGCAGCATCTGTGCTATGAGCCTGGCCAGCCTCCCAGGGAGCCCCCCAAGAGTTGTACTTACCTTGGGTAAAGAGGATGCCCTGGAATTCAGGGTAGGACTCACTGGAACTACATGGGCATTCCCTGCTGAGATGCTATTTTCTCACCAAAATGGAGCCAAGATGGTGGTTGCATCACATGTGTACCAAAAAAATTTTTTTTGTCAGCCTCCTATAATTTGGCCATGCTTAGATGTCAGTGTCCATCTGTGACTGGAAGTGCCCTCAGTCCCACCAGGCCCAGGGAGATGGCTCACAGGGTTGTGGGAAAACTAGCACTGCTCACCTGCCTTTTGTGCGGCTCCCTGTTCTGTGTTTCCCTCTGTCCCCTTGGTCCCTGACACTGAGTCCAGGACTGCAGAGCCCTTGCCGCCTCCCCCTGTCGCACGCCAGCACTGCTCAGAGCACATCAAAGAAGGACCTGAGCAGGGGTCTTGGAAAGGAAGGAGGGCAGGTTCAGTGTTGACTCTGCTGGCCCAGGGCAGGCGGAGAGCATGGGGGAAGGATGTGTACACAGACACCTGAATGCCATTGTTTTTTAGAGAAAACCCCCACCCGTGTGGAAAATGATTCCATAACGTGTCCTGGACCGATGATAGATCAGCCTGGACGGTAAGGACCAGGGGTCCTGGGGGTGGGGACAATATGGTCTCTATTTGCCACCGCCTCCTGTCCTGAATGTGGGTGTCCCCATGCTAGGCAGCACAGGTTGGCCTGCTCTGGGCTGAGGTGCCCCCCACCTGCCCTTGTGGGTGACCTTCAAGGTGCCCAGGGCCACACAGAGGCCCAGGCACTGCTGAGGGCAGTTGCAGGAGAAGCTGGGTTGCCTTTCCTCTGGGTCACCTTTCCCAGCTGGGATCACACAGCATGTGATAGCAGTGAGGACAGTGATGCCATGCAGACCTCCCTGGTCCCTGAGCCACGGCCAGGATGGCACCATCCACCATGAGGGCTGCTCACGGCCTGAGCTGCACCCCTTGCTGAGTCTGACCTCGCAGTGACTTGGGGAACCAGCTCTCATGACCCACGTGAATTCCCTCTGGTCACCCCGAATGTGTGACTTTCAGAGTCATTGCTATGAGCAGAGCTGGGGTTCTGCCCTGGCTCAGGGCCTGATTGATACTCAGCAGATGGATCCCAGCATCTGCCCTTTCTCTATACCAGAGACGTCTTTGTGGAAATCAGCCTGGACAATGGGAACAAATACCTGACCAACGACCTCATGTTTACCAGCGTGGACTGTGTGAGTACTGGGGGCCTGGCTGGAGCACCTCCTAGGGTGTGAAGAGCTCTATACTGGACACATGTGCTTCTGGGGAGGCAGAAGGTGCTGCACAGCCCAGAGAGCAGCTGTGCAGAAAGATCCTGGGCCCATCCTGGGCTCCCCCTGGGCCACTTGGGGGGTCTGGAGGCTTCTGCCTGTAGTCTGTCCAGGGCTCTAGATCTTTGGCCCCTCCTCACGGGTGACCCCATACAACCATGCGCAAGACTAGGAGAGAGTACAGGAGCAGACCCGAGCTCTGCCAGCCCACGGCCAACACCATCCCCTCTGTACTCTCAGCCTTGTCCCTTCTGCAGCTTCTCCTGACCCCGCATGTGACAGGGGGAGGGCAGGCAGGCAGCCTGGGCACCTTTATCATTGACAACCAGGGACAGCCCTTCCCTTTGCCCACATACATGGGGCCTGAGCCGGGCTCCCCCAAACCCTCTGAGCACCTGAGTGCCTGTGGCTCCCACACTGAGGCTCAGAGAGGGTGAGGTGAGCCCAGGATACAGAGCCAGGAGGTGGGCAGCGAGGCCTGGAGGAACCTGGGTCTCTCATCCTCCCCATGGTCCCCAACAGACCAGCCTCCCCGATGTGGCATATGTAGCTCTCTGTGTCCTCAGGACATGCTGTGCTGGCCAGCATCAAGGTCAGAGTCACATAGGGGCTCCCGGGCCTCCTTGTCTGAGCTGAGTTCAGACCCCTGAGTTGGGCAGAGGTGTGGCTCGCAGCCTGGGGACCAGGCCAGGCCTGGCCCCAAAGTGTCTCATGCCACACAAACTGAAGGAGGGAGTGGGTAGTTGGAAACCTGCATGGCAGACACTCAGGAACAGGCCCCGTGGGACCTGAGGCCTTGCTGTCTGTCCTGTCCCTGGCTGAGTTGGCATGGACCTCTGTCCCCACAGACCACCACTCCCCCAACTTCGCCAACGACGCTACCCCCACCACCTCCGCCTACGACACCACCTCCACCTCCTCCTTCACCTCCTCCACCACCTCCTACGATGCCTCCTCCACCTCTGCCTACAACGACGCCACCTCCACCACCTCCAACCACTACAATTCCTGCAGTTCTTCCTGTTACCCCGCTCCCCGAAGAGGTGAACGAGAGCTCTGACCTGTTCTTCTTGGTACCCCTGGGGCAGTTGCTGCTGGAGGTGATGCTGTGTTTTGGTTATCTGAAGGAGGTGAGTCACCTCAAGGTCAGTGTACCCTGCTCACCCAGCCCCTGGGCCAGGTACATGTCCTCCTGCCAAGGGATACGGACATGTGGCAGCCTTGATCCAGCTGTGGGCCATCTCCATCGCTATAAGGTCATCCTGTGACTCAGGGTCACAGCCCTAGACCTAGGCAACCTCCTCCAGCCTCTTGCTCAGGAGAGAGGCCACCTCAGGACCCCTCACTGGGATGTCCCCAAGCCCTAGAAAGATGCATACCTAAGAGCCTATGTGGGGAAGGGGTCAGGGTCCCCTCGGAACAATGATGGCCCAGATACAGGTGGTGCTGACCAGGGAGGAATGGCTGGAGTGGCTGTGCCCTGAATCCCATGGGACCTGCATGTCTCCATGCTGTACACACCACCCCTGTCACTGAGCAGAGTGTGGGGCCTGGGCTGGGCTGGGCGGGAGAGGACAGAGCAGCCGCCACCCACCCCCAGGGAGCTCAGAGCAGCCTCTGCTCGGGCACGAGGGTGAAATGTCACCCACGCCTGGGCACAGCCAGGGCCTGGTCACAGCAGAGCCTGGGGTGCAGGGGATGCGGAGCACTGGGCAGCTGGGTGGAAGGAGGTGTCCAGAGCTGGAGGAAGGAGGACAGAGCAGGCCTGAAGGGACAGCCAGCAGCAACAGCAGGGACACCTGAAAGGGTCAGCAAGGAAGTCTGGGGATATCCAGGTCCCCAGAGCGGGGAAGAGGCCAGCGTGTGCTGCAGTGCAGGGTGGGTGGGGGTGACAGTGCCTTGGCCCACTGTAGAGGGAGGGGCTTGGGTCAGGTGGGCTCCTGGGCACAGTGCCACAGACAGAGTGGCTGGTGCACACCCCAAGGCCATGTCCAACTTGCTGCTTCAGGCCAGGGTCCTCTGAGCTGCAGGGTCCAGGCAGAGCCCACTCACCCCAACACTCCATGCTATGTCCGTCTTCCATTCCAGGACAGCAAGGAGCCATCACCAACTCCGCCTGAGCCTGAAACGGTAAGTGGAGGTCTGGGTCCTGACATCTTCACACACCCAGGACTGACCTGTCCTTCCAAAGGGGCACCATGCAGCCTGTGCTAGGCTCTCCCACCCCCCTGGGCAAAGGAGAAAGAACAGAGGTCAAATAAGGAGTGGGAATAATGATTTCCCCAGACAACACCCCCAGGCTCCAACACCTGCTGGTCCTGAGCTTTGTGACAGACAGAGACCTTGGGGACCTGCTTCAGTAATCACCGTTCTTACTGCCCTGATAGCCTATGTGATCCCAAAGGTATCTCTGGGATCTGAGCACTCAGGGCTTTGGCCTTGTGTTCACCCTGGTTGTGCTGGGCTCCTTTGGATTGTCTTCATTTTTGTCTCCTACAGGGCCAGGCCTGGGCTGGGAATAGCCTTGGGGACATAGGGCTGAGGGTGGAGGTCATCTGGGGGCTGAGCTGTGAGGCTGTCCTCAGGGGAGCACAGGGCTGGGGCAAGGGCAGCCTGGGGCTCAGCTGAGTGGGACCAGAACTTCTGAGTGGCTGCCAGGAAACAGGGTGCCTCCTGGGACCTGTGCTGGGTGCACTGTGGCCTGGGGAGGTGGCATCTGCAAGGCCATGGCCATGGGGAGGGGACAGTCACCTGCCAGTGCCCTGATCCCTGCACAGCCAGGACAGCCTTGGGAGAACAAGGTTCTACCTGGGGCATGTGAGCAGTTGGGGCAGAGCCGGACTTTGGGAAGCAGGGGAGTTTGGCTGCTCTTCTGCACAGAGCCCTCCCCTTGCTGTGGGTGCTGCTTATTATTCTTTCTGTCACCCTGAAACCTTAGCTGACCACATGTGCTGGTACCAGGGCAAGGACCCCATCTTCCTGCTCCCCAGGGGTTGCAGACAGGTCTTTCTCACTTCTAGGAATCAGAAGACGAGGAGACCCTGCCTCCGCCGCCTCCTCCTCCACCTCCTCCTCCTCCACCACCTGCCCCAGCACCTGCCTCTGCACCTGTCACCGTGTGCCCCATCATTATCGTGTGCTGCTGTGCGTGCCGTGGCGTGTGTGTGAACAGAGGCCCAGAGGTGAGAGACCAGCACTCTAGGGAACAGGAGCTCAGAGACCTGGGAGGGAACATGGCTGTGTGAACTGTGTGGGGTCCCCATGGTGCCAGAGAAAAACTTGAGACCCCCCCCACATTGGCCAGTCAGGACAGCACCCAGTGGGGCTCACCCTCCCACCCCACCCCACCTGTCCCTGACCCAGGATCTGTGGTGTCCTTCTGGGAGCTTCCCGCCTCTGTGTCCCCACAGCCCTGCTGAGAAGCCAGCCCTCTCCCCACATTGCTGAAAAGCCAACACTAGCCCTGCAGAGAAGATACCACTGCCTGTGGAAGTTTCTGGCTGTGGGGCCATCCCTGCCCACCCACAGGACCCAGAGGGCCAACACTGCGGCCAGGGGGCTTTTGCCCTAAGACTGGGCCATCTCCTGTCCTGTCTGCCATCCTCTCCTCTGTCCTGGTTTCAGGATATGGGTCTCCCCTGGCCTCTCCTGTGTGCCCAAAACCCAGCCCCTTACCATTCCTTGGGCTCTTACCTGGCCCTCTGTCTACCTTGGTTCCTTTGGATGTCCTCTGCTTTCAGCTCATACCCCTCCCACTTTGATCTCTATCATCAGCTGTGGGCTTCCTTATTGCCCCAAACCTGCTTTTAGCCGAAATCCAAACTATGTCTCACAGTAATCCTGCAGACAACCAGGCTCCCCAGCCTTCCCTGGGCACCTGGAGCTTGGTCTCAGCACAGCCATGGGGACAGAGCTGCCTGTAGCTTCAATCCTGACCTGCAGGAGGTTGTGTCCCTTGCTGTGCTCTTCCTCATGACCTCATCTGTTTTTCAGGGCACCTTGATCTTGTGCAACTTCAGTCACCCTAGCTGTCACCAGGTGCCACTGACGTGGTCTCCATCCAGTGCCCAGGTGAGTTGGATACTGGGGCCCTTTTGGTGAGCATTGCCCTTCCCTGAGGCTTGATTGCTAAGGACTGTCCCTGTGGCCCTATTTGATCATACAGCAACTGTACAGTAGCTGCTATTTTTTTCCCCAGTTTACACTGGGAGCAGAAGCCCACAGAGTTTTCGTGACTTGGTCACAAAGTGTGGGACACTTAGAGTGGGGCTTGGACCTGGGCCTGGCTCCCTCCTCCCCTCTGTCCTCATTGGATCAGCCCCTGGTCCATGTACTGGTCACCCCAAGTTCATAGCAGGCTCCCCTGCTCAGGCCTGGTTCCCACCATGCCCTCGCTCTGGCCTGGAGCTTCTGTGGCTGGGCTCTATGCTAGCCCTGTGCACAGACAGCCCTGGGAGGAGGGTGGGCAGTGCCCAGGCCTGCTTGCAGCTGCACCAGCCTCAGTCCTTGAATTGGGTCAGCACAGGACCCAGGAGCATACTGAGCAGCAGGTGCCATCCAGGGTAGGACAGGGTGAGTGGAGCCTGTCCTGAGCCCAAGGAGAGGTGGACAGAGGAAGGACTGTCCCTTACGGCTGGGCCTGTGGATGTGCTGGTGGCTTTTGCTGTGGGCTTGGATTGAAGCTGGGGCTGGGAGGTGGGGAGGGTCCTGCAGGGAGAATGAGGGCAGTGTATGTGTACTGGGGGGTGGAGAGAAAGAAGAGAGAGACCCTCCCTAACTCAGTGTTGCAGAAAGTGACTACCCAGCTGCTCTGGGCTTTTGTGACCTGAGTGTTTCCCCAGGCCTGGCTTGGAGAATGCTGCTTGGCAGAGGCAGGATAGAGTTGAGGCTCAGTCTGGGAGGATGGGTGGACTTGGGCTCAGGATGGGGAGGCCCTGGAGTACACACACCCCTCTGAGACAGAGGAAGAGGCAGGTGTGGGCATGTGCAGAGCTTCTGGTAGCAGGTGCTGCTAAGGGTGGGTTCTGGCTGGAGGGAGATAACAAGGAGGGCTCAGTGGCAGGTTTGGGTTGCAGGCCCACAAAACCACTCTGGTGCTGTGAGCACAGCAGAAGGTGGCTCTATGAGGACTGGAATTTGGGGTGGGTGGAACCTTGGAGACCAGGGTCAGCAGCTGCTCTGGGTCAGCCAGAGAGGGAGGCTGTCACCTTAGGGCCCAGGAGGGATGACCCAGTCAGGAGGCTGAGTCAGGACAAGGTCCAATGAAACACAGATAGGAAAGGGCAGGAAGTCAGCAGGGTGGCCCTGGAGGGGAATGGGGCAGCCCAAGGCTTGACACTGGATGACAACTGTCAGCAAGTCCCTTCTGAAACACCCGGGCACAGAAAGAGGCAGCAGCTTCCAGATAGACTGGGAAGCACTCTTGGGTAGAGGCGGAGCCTGCAGGCCTGGAACCCAAGGAGGCTCTAATAGCTCATATTGGGACAGTCACAGCTCTGTCACAGGCACAGTGAGGATGTTCCTCATTCCCGCATCAGTCTTGGCCTTCCAGTGCAATATAGGAGCTTTCCTGCCCAGGCCAATGGAACATAGAGATGACGTTGTCTTTGCCCTTTGCTGTACAGTATGCTCAGAGTATGAAAAAGAAGGAAATTTGGGGGGAGGCTTTCTTTGGGAAGACAGTAGCTGCACTAAATCCCCAAGAGGTTAACCTCGGGGATGCTAACAAAGAGAGTCTGGTAGACTAGACTCACAAATTGCTTTCATTTTAATGAAATGATTGCAGGGTTCCCATCAACACCTCTAGATTCCAAGGAGAAAGAAGGAGGAATGGGGCACAGGGAGCTTTCTGTAAAGTATGACCCAGAAATTCCCATCTCTATTCCATTTGGCAGAATTTACACCCATTGGTCATCTTGCTCAGCAGGAGAATATAAGCAATGTCATGTCACAAAGGAGCACTTTGCTTCCAACAAAAACAGAAACAGTTTGCTGTTGTTAAAGAGGGGAATGAACATGAGGCTACCAGTCAGCATTTGGAATAGCTGCCCCAATTTAGAGATAGGAAAGCCATTCCCCTGAGGTTGAGTGGCTTAAGAGATTCAAGCCAGGTGTGGACCCCAGCCCTTGAGCTTACCTGGAGAGAGGGGCACTCAGGGCTTTCCTAAGAGGCCCTGATTGGCTCTTGGGGTGGGTTTCTCCCTGATCTCCTGGGCACGAGAAACTAGCAGAGACACAAGCATGGGGAGAAGACTCATTCGGTGTTACTGGGGCTGCCTGGATGGCCTGTGCCTGGCTGAGGGAAGGCCTGGCTGTCCAGGGAAGGGGCCAGAGAGGAGTGGTTGGGGCCCCTGGTCACTCCCACCTACAAGCCTCCTATGTTGGAGTAAAGGGATTTAGCAGGCTTGGCTGTGGGTCCAGGTGAGATCTGGCTGGCACACAGCACAGAACCCATTCCAGGGCCCATCCCAGAGAGCTTGCAGGCCTCATTCTCTCCATCTGTCAAAGCACTCCACATCTGGATGTTGGAAAGGGGTTTGCTTGGCTGAAATCAAGCTGTCCCGGTGCTGCTCTGGGCACATCTGTATCCTTGCCCTTTCCAGCTTTTAGAGGCCTCACATTGGAGGCTCAGGGCCCCTCCTCCATTTACAAATCCTGCAGAGCAGCACTTGCTTGCAATGTCGTCCAGCTTTCATCCACAGGCACATTCTCCTCTTCCTGTCCTCTCCTCCTGCTGCCTCACTTGTGATCCTTGGGAATGTACAATGTCCACTAGACCACCCAGCACATCTCCAAGTCATTAACTATAGCTTACCAGGTAGAGCACAGAACCACCTATTCCAGGGGCATGGACCCCTTTCGGATCCACTGCTCAGCCCCCAGCCTGGCTGTTTTCAGATGCATGGGCTGAGTCTGGGGTCAGTGGAGGCTGGAGGGCAACACCAGGGCAGGTGCTTCACTCAGGCCCAACCTCCAGCCATGCACCTGCATCATCTGGCCCAAATCCAGGGATGCTCAGCTATCTCTTCTCTGCTTTTCCCACCAGGGCAGCTGCACCAGCTTTGACCTCCTGAAAACACTCTGTGCCCAGGGCCCCTTGGCCTCCCAGATCTGCCTTCATCCCAGCCAGGACAGCCTCCCCCTGGCTTACTGCTCCCAGTGCCACCACCCTGAAGCCCAGAGCACCAGGTGCCCTTCTAGGATGCTGCCCCTGCTGCCTCCCCCTGCCCAGACAGCCTGCAGATCTGTACTGTCACTCCCACCTCCATAGGCCACCTCTCAGGCCCCATGCACCCATATGAGAGGTCTTGTTCCTGAGCTGGGTTTGGCATTGGAGTCTTCGATTCTAATAAACCAGAGTTGGATTTTGTTGCTGAACAGAGAGGGTCTGTCACTGGGGAGATGCCCTCCTGTCTGAGATGTGATTTTTCTGTACCACCTGGATATACACCCTGGTGTTCTATGAATGCCAGGCATGGGCGACCCCACTACCATCACTCTGTCTTCGTCTGTCACCAAGGGGTGGGAAACATGGGTGTGATGTCAAGTCTCCTATCAAAAAGAAAAAAAAGAAACACCGAAGTTGTTGGAACACAGGTACAATCCTGGGTCTTCTTCCCTAACTGTTTGTAAGAGAAGTATGTGAATTTCTCCTTGGTCTCCATGTTTGGTTACCCAAATCCTGAATGCATCCTAGAAGGAGGCCAGCCCTTTCTGAAAGGGAGATGTCTCTTTCCAGAGTCTCGGCACAGTCCCAAACCCAGGGGATTTCAACAGATCCCCTGCATTTCGCCAGAGCAGGCAAATCTCCCTGGACCCTTTGTCACCAGAGAAGAAAGTAGGGTCCTCACAGTGCTGTGCAGCACACAGCTTCCTACTGCCCAGCACATGCACCACTGTCCTTGTGAACACCACGGGCATGGGAACTCAACAAGGGGCCCCGAGGACCTCAGGAGGGTTCTCAGGGGCCCAGGTCCAGGCTGCCAAGTTGTCCCTAATCCATCCTGAGAGTGAATTAAGTGGCAGCTCCCATCTGCCCCCATCTCCCTGAAGGCTACCTTCATCTTTGCAGGTGAATTTCTATAAAGTTTGCACAAGCAGCAAAAGGCCAGATTTTGAACTTGACTTGGCATGGATTTAATAGGATAACAGGATGGCTAGTGATGACCCCAGGTTTGCAAAGAAACAGGTCTCACTGGAATGGCTTCGTCACACATATAGGGATCATTCACAGGCTTTCTGTAGGTCCCATAACTTTGACCTTTCCTTCATTCCAAGAATTGCTATTTTTTGTCCCTTGCTCAACTTCTCTGTCCTGCATTGTCCTGAGCTGTCATTGCCCAAGCTCCAATCTGGGTCCCCCAGGTTTCATGGTGGAACCTCGGTGTTGCCCACCCTTCCTGTTCTTTCCCATCTCTGGCAGCATATCTGTCTCCCACTGGGTATAGAAAGCTTTCCTGTGCTCCAGGAAAATAGTCACAGGACAGGCAATGGAGAGGGCACTGTGCTCTGGGGATGGACTTGATGGTCTGGTCCAGTCCCAGAGCAGCTATGGGAGGTCTGGAGAATAAGTGGCCCTTCCAAAGGGCACAGCCTGACAGGTGCGCTGGAATGCAATGCTTACCTTGGCTAATGTTTTTTGTTTGGTTTTTAAACAGTTTCTGTTTGCAATCACATAACCCCTTGGCTCCTGTGCATCTGGAGTGAGGAGGACATGACGCTGCAGAAGGAGGGCTGGGGACCAGTAAGGGCATCCTTCTGCTGAGGTCCACACAGGCTTTCCTTGGGTTCCCAGCCACAGCCATCAGGAGGGCTGAGACAGAGCTCAGCTGCCTCCCTAAGGCCAAGAGTCACCTGCCTCCCTCCCCAACAGCCACCAGGAGCCTCAGGGACAGCCCAGTTTCCTCAGGGCCACTCTATTCCTTGGCTATACTGAAGGCCCTGGGACTGTGCCAGGTCTGCAAGGTGGGAGGAAGAGCAAGGCTTAGAGGAGAGGGCGCTGAACATGGATGTGGCCAAACGCCTCCCAGAGGACACAGTCTCTCCCTCGAACCCTGCTGGGGCTGCTAGGAGGTGGCTCCTAGGGACCAGTGACTGAGAGCCCTGCAGGACCCAGGGCAGGGCCACGTTGCTGCAGGGACAGAGCCACCCAGAGCCTATGTGGTAACACCCCCACTTGAGGAGATAAGGAAATTGTTGAGGCCTGTGGCGGGGGTTGGGGGGGGTGGACTCAGCTTTGCAGGACTCAGATACAGGGCTCCCCTGAGGTTCCATCCTCCCTCCATCCTGGGGACAGCTTCTTCTGGAGTAGAGCCCTGAGGGGGACCCAGAATGGCTTCCTTTCAGGTCCTCAAGTATTCTCCTTTCCCCATTCACAGGCTCTCACACAGGGCCCACCACATTGGCTGTTCCTGGAGCCTACCCGGTTTCCACTCGTTCTCCTACAGGAAAACTGGGGTCATTCAAGCCTTGGCGCACGGGCGCCACTCAACAGCCATCCCCTCCAGAGCGTATCCCATCCTTCCTTGCCCATCCCTCCAGGGGATAGCCGCAAGTCCTCTACACCTCCAGATTCTGGGTCACGGACCTGGCCGCAGCTGAGCAGTGCTGCCATGGAGGGGCGGGGTTGGAGAGCAGCAGGACCGCCCGGCTAGACCCGAGATGCTGTTCAGGGCGGTGTCCGGGCGGGGAAAGGAGTCTGCACGTGACTGGGATGCCCTGGTTGAGGGCGTGCCTCTCGCCCCAAGTGGCAAGGTCGCAGTTGCCCAGGGGTCAGGGCGCACGTGGCGAGAGAGTGGCGGCCTGCGCGAGGGTCGCCCCAAACCCGAAGGCCCCCAGTTATCCTGCGGGCTTCAGATCCCTGGGTCGAAAGCGTCTCCCCAGCTC